CAGCTAAAGGTGACACAGATGCTTTATTATGGTATAGTATTTAAATATATGCCTGAGAAACACATAATATTGGCCCTTTAACCGAAGACCAGGGAAAGCTTTTTCTTAAAGAGCTCCCCTTTGATGTCACTTCCTGTTTTACGTCGGTTGGCCCAAATTCAAAACAAAACCTGCCAGGATTGTGCTGCTGCAAAAACAAAATTGTCACTCGCCTTCTTTTCCTGCATGGTTTATTTTAAAGGAGCATTGTCTTAAAATCTGACATAAAAGTTTGTTTCGATGCCCCAACCTTAAATGAAATGTTTGTTTTAAAGTTTCAAAGAAAAGACAGACGGTTGACACGAGACAAGTTGTGCCCCTGACTCCTCTAAACGATGAGTTGAAGTAAAGATAAAAAAGAGCAGCAGCCGACTCGTCCTGAACCCAGAGTTACTCTTTCTGAAGGACGAAGTCATTTGTTGAATTCTGAGAGATTTAAAACCAAACTGACCTCCTGCAGGCGCCGAGCAGGAAGCCTCCTCTCAGACGGACCTCCGACTACACTAACCCGGACYAACACGTGGTTCCTCTCCACCGACAAGCTGTCTATGATGATGGCCCTTTAAAGAAGACAAGATTATCTTAGCAAGCTCTATTTGAACAGATAACACAGGAGATTAGTGAGCGCTTGATTAAAAAAGGTTAAAAAAGTGAAAGTGTGAAAAAAAAGATCATGATCATGAACATTTTCCTCATCACAGAATCAAATGACCTTCATWAAACAATAGTTTTTAAAAAAAACTAAGTCACGGGAAATGACTTAGATCTATATATGGAAATGGATATGAAGTAATAGTAGTTTTCATGACAAGGTCAAAAATAYTAAAAAGACACAAAGACTCTTAATCTATTCAGTTTCTGAACCATCAAGTGATAAAAGCCTCTAAACGACGACGGCTGTGTCACTGATGTGACGAGGTCAGAAAAACAGAGAAATGGGTTAGAATTTCAGATAAGCTCAGAACATTTCAAATTAGAAAAGTACTTTAGTCCTGAAAGGCATCAGTTCTTATAGCTTGGACAATTTGGACTTGAAGCTGAGGAGATGATTTTCTACTAAAGGAGCAGTCTGCCTCAAACTGTTCTGTTCTGGATGGTGGGGGATAAAAGGAGCAAGTCATCATCCTCCAACACAGATCCAGCACTCATGACGTGATGTGAGTGGACATTTCACGCCCATCTCCATTCTTAACCTAGCCTGGTAAAAACCAGACCCTCRTCCTTCACTTTGCTTCATACAGAGGGTCTGGACTCTCAGCTGTAGAGAAGAGATTCTTGCTGGAGGCGTGGCCTCTGCTGAAGTTTAAAATGATTGGATCGATTGGCCGCAACGTATGTGTGCCAGCTCCACTGTGAAGAAGGCTAAGCTAAGAAGCTAACCGGAAATTGCGTGTGCTGTAAACCAGAGATTCTTACCCTATGGGCCGCGGCCCA